ATGGCAACTGAAACACTGAAGTTAAAATTATGGATCCCAAATTCTTGCAAATAAAAGTAAATTAATTTCGAAGGTAATTGGAATTTGTTCCGAAAATTATTTATCACAGCATCATCCTTTATAGTTTCAACAGAATTGATTTGATGACTTTCTAATGTAATACAATTAATCAAGAGGAAGGTTTTAGTAGCTTATGAATTACTATCATCTTGATATGTAACTTCTAGTCATCAGTTACACTTGCTGAACCGTTCCAGTTTGTTCCATTCATATGATTTTATTCAACATATATATTTTGCACCTGAGCAATTAGATTGTGATTGCTGTTATGTATTGCTTTATTGTAGTTCATATTTTTGTCTAATCCATCGAATTCTACTTAATGCATGCCTTTGTTACTTTGAAAAAATACTCCTTTTTTATTCTAGTGATATTTAGCAATACATTTAAATGCACTCATCCGATGTGTCTGCAAAACTCTGTCAACTATAGAGCAACATGTGCTACTGCAGCACAGCATCAATAATCATTAAGCTTTTTTTTCAAACAGTTTGCTAAACTGGATGCGTGTAAAGCGCTGGATTCCTTAGGAAATTTGCCCTATGAATTACAAAGCGGTATGACTGCGTTTTTATTGGGGTTTGTGACTGTAGTGGGACACTTTCTTGAATCTATGGGATTTTACTTGCAGTGGTGCAGTTACTGTGCTCTGTCAAAACCTCGTTTTCAGTCTGTAGAATCAGAACAGCCATAATGGAAATGACGTTTTTTGTCAGTTTGGGTTTTTTTGCAGGAAGCTGGACCAACAGGCAGTAAAAGTTATTTCTATCTTCTGCTAAAAATCCACAGAGGAGAAGGTTATAGTTCACCCACTGAAGCAGTGCCTTTCCTGTGTGCACATATAGTTTGCTTGTAGCTTTCGTATTACTCTGGTAGATTTTGCATAATTTCTAAAATAATTTCTATAATTTTTCTATCATTATAGGATTTGGAACTTGACAATATCTGTCCAATTTGTCTAATGTCTATCTCTAATCCTGATAGTATCTAATTTCTCACTCTGGTGAGGAGGAATAAACAACTCCAATATCTTGTACCATTACCTCTATAGAATTCTAGAATCATAAAATTGTTGAGGTTGGAAGGGACCTCAGGAGATCTCCTGGTCCAACCCCTTTGCTCATCCAGAGCCAATCACACAGGATGGTTTCCAGATGGCTTTTGAATATCTCCAAGGATGGAGACTCCACAACCTCTCTAGGCACCTGTGCCAGTACTTGATCACCCTCACAGTAAAAATGTTGTTTCTTGTTGTTCAGAGAAAACCTCCTGTGTTTCAGTTTGAGGCTGTTGCCTCTAGTCCTATCACTGGGCACCCCTGAAGACAATCTGACTCCATCTTCTTTGGACCCTCCTTTCAGGTTTTGGTGGATGTCCCGGAGACTGTTCAGGCTGAACAGTCCCACTTCTCTCAACCTCTCCTCATAGGAGAGATGCTCCAGCCCCTTCATCACCTTCACAGCTTTTTGTTGCACTCCCTCCAGTCTTTCCATCTCTCTCTTGTTCTGGGGAGCCCAAAATGGGACCCAGTACTCCACATGTAGCTTCACCAGTACTGAGGAGAAGGAATTAGAGAATTGTGCAGCTATATCTTTTAAGTTTATTTATCCTCGTAGTTCCTCTTTCTTGCCCTTCCTCCAGGACAGCTCTTCACTCTATAACAAGGCTGAAAATGTTTTGTTGTACTTCTCAGCTTTATCTTTTCCAGAGAAAACCCCAATTCTCTCAATCTTTCTTCATTGGTTATATTTTCTAAGCACCTTATGAATCATTTTGCCCCTCTTCAAATTCATTTTTATTGAGTGTGTAAATATGCATAAAATATCCAAAATTAGACATGATATTCTTCCAGAGGCTCCACTTTTGCCAAGTTTATAAAAATAATTATCTCCATGTCTTCTGTTTTCCATTTCTGAATACGACCTAGAATTAGTCTTTCTTATTTTGCAGCAACACTGCATTCTTGGTTTAATTTCTCAGAATTCCCCAAGTCATTTCTTCGATATTTGAAAGTTATTTTCTGTCTTGGTTTTGCACCTTTGTTGTGAGTTTGGTTTGTTTTTTTTTCCCCAGAAGTACTTTTTGCACTTGGTTTTGGAGTATTTCATCATATTGATTTCTGAACATTGCTTCCATCAGTCAATGTCCACTCCCTTCCTTCTGCGTTATCTGCAAATTTTTTTCGTGTTTCTTATTTGTTCACGAGTATTAATGAAAATATTGACTGTGGACCCATCATATCTTTGTGATACATATCTCAAAATATTCCCTGTTTGATAACTACCTTTTGAAAATGGATTCTTCTAATTGGATATGTACTCCCATTCCTTCTCACAGTGATTTTATCTGCACTGAGGCTTTCTTTTCTATATTGAGACAATGTCAGCTAGAAATGTCTAACAGTTTTAACAAAGGTCAGAATATGCTAGATTTTCTCCTTTCCTTTATCTGCTAAGCCAGTTACCCTGTAAAAGGAGGAAATTACATTAGTTTGACATGATTTGGTTTTGACAAATCCATGGTAGCTGTTTGTTATCATTTTAATTATCTCCAAGGTGCTTAGAAGTAGATAGCTCAATAATTTGTTTGGTATCTTTGTGGGTATCAAAATTAATGCTGTAACTCTCTGAGCTTCATTTTGCTGTTTCATATCTCTGGTTATATATACACATACACACACACGTGTATGTGTCTGTTTTTACACATATAGTCAACGTGTTTCCCTTACCATAGTCATTTGGAATCATCCTCATGAGATTTCAAATATAATTAATAATAGTTCAGAGATTATGTTTTATGCTTTCAGGAAAATTTCATTATTCTGTTCTGCCTTGAACTCAAACCACCATCTCCTTTCTTCTCCTTTCCTGACTAATCTGCCTGAGATAACTAACACAGATGAAGAAAATTTGATTTGTTCTGTGGAAAATACTTTCCTTGAGGCAGGAGTGAAGCTTTAACAGGACTTGGCTCCTTGCACTTGAACATATTAGTTGATAAATGGGTTAGTAAAAGAAATGTAATAGATTTGTAAAGTTTTGTGGTGTCTAGAGAAGCATTCACTGAGGTAGGTATTGCACCTACTGCAGAGGTAGACAGGTGTTGGATAAGCACATGGCGAAGTCTTCTTTATGGTAGTACCTCGTATGGAGAAACAAAGATTTTAAAATAGAGGTACAGGTATTTAGCATGCAAAAGACACTTCATGTCTGTCAGCAAACCCAGTCATATTGAAACAGGCGTTGTGGAAAAAGCATGAGACCACCTAAGTAGTCACTTTATTGAGTATATAACTACCAATGAATAAGATTATATGGTGACAGCAGCTCTCAGGATCCAGCTGAACCAGAAAAAGGAATCAAATCCTGAGGTCTCAGTGAGAGATGTGGGACCACACACCTATGTGCACATACAGCCAGTGGACTGAGCCACATTTTTTAATTTTCGTGTGTTGCTTCTACTTCTGAGCCATGGGTGCATTTAGAAGGAAAGAAATTAGGTGATCCAGCTCCTTTAATCTCAGAGCCTTACAAAAAAAGAGTAAGACATACAAACTAAATGCATATGTTTCTGTTTCATTAAGTGCACTGCTGATGGTGTGGTTTCCTATGCATGTGGCTTGTTAGGTCCTTGCAGTGTGAGCAGTGTGGGCAATAATGTATCGATATCTACATCTCTCTGCTACGGATGAGAAGCAAAGACACCAGAAAGGAAGGGAAGAAATCACTGTACGTCTTTAATCTCTCTGAACTACTTTTCAGCCTCATTGGTAGACTTCAGAGCTCTACGTCCATTTACCAGGAGAAATGCTTAGTGTGATGATGTTGCCTCTGTGCTGCAGAGAGTTGAGCATTCACTCACTTCTGGTCTACCCTAGTTCCACTTTGAACCTGGTATTCAGGACAAGAGAAATGTCTGTGCACTGCAGAATGCTTTTAACAAAACAGTACCATTCCTGCTGTGTCTGGATTTGGACAAAATTGAGGGCAAAACAAAAGGAATGAATTAGTTTGGGGAACGCTACTAAAGCTTGGAATATGAACTCTGTGCAGTATGAACTGCATAGAAATTGTTGGCTTTAGAATCAACCTTAAATTCTTTGGCAAGTAAGTCACATAAGCCTGATACAAACCACAAATACATTTTACTTTTGCCCAAATAGAGTCTTTATCCTTTCTAATTTGTTGCTGGATGTCATACATACCCATTTTGTTTTGGAAATAAAGATTCCGATTTAGAAAATGTTGGCTGCGTTGAAAATAGAGCTTGGTTTTTAAAGCAATGAGATTTCCTTTTTTTTTTTCCCTAAAAAAATTGTACAGTTTATAGCTGGTTTTTGGTTTTTGCTATACAAGGGACTATCTGAAATGAAGAGGAGACTCTGAGTTCTTCAGTACAATGTGTAGGTGCAGTGTATTCCTTAGAAACTGATACAATTTCATTATACTGCTGTGACTTTAAACAATAGCAAATTGCTATCTAAAACCTGTAGAAATTAACAAAAAAACCCACAACAAAACCAACTGAAGAAGTTGTAGTATAATCTCAAGGAATGAGTGACAGAGCTGGAAATTCAATCTGGTGATCCTAGTTCTGCTTCCTGTTGAAATCTGAGAGCTGTGTGTTTCATATAGAAAGATAATAGACAAAAATGTTGGGTTCCAAATTAGAAAAGGTTATTTCCAATTAAATTTCTGGGCTAGAGAAAAAAATCTCTAATACATGAGATATATTTTTTCATTGAAAAGTTTCATATGCAATTGACAAATGTTTCCTAACTAGACTCATTATACATAAAGAGGAATAAAAGCAGAAGAAAAATTAAACTGGTACCTTTAAGCACAGAACTATGACAGTGGAAAAGATAGAACTGAAATTTTGAATCTCAGATGTATGGTATTTCTTTGCAGTAAGAGTTTACTTTTGATCTTTTTGTTCAGAGTCTTTGGACATATTAGCTACCGTTCGGACTGGGAACTGGTGAAGGTGGACTTCAGACCATCCTTCCCCAGGGAGTGCACTGATGATGACTACGAGTCTTGGGAGCTCACAAATCTGCAGGTATTCGTGGTCTTATGTTAACTGACAAAACTTTTCCATAGCTTTCAGATTCATATAGAACTGTGTGCTAGGAAAATGTTTCCAAATTGAATTTGCATGCCACATCCCCAGTTTAGTCTCCTTATGCTGATATTTGCTGATTTTGCAATAGTTTAAAATGGGAGAGGATTTTGTGTTCATTTTGGTTGTGTAATCTGTGTCCTAGGAAAGGTGGAAATATATCTGCTGGGTTGCCATAATAATAGGTGGTCCTGCTGGATTAGGAAGCATATACCATAAACTGAAGTGTGTAATATTGATTCAAACAATTTCAACATGTAGTCATGTGTTCTGCCAACTTCCTGACCACATACTGTACTCATATATAAATTGCCATAAGTACAGTCCATTCCAGAAGTAATTTAGGATCTCAGTGGACCAATCATGTAATGGAGTCCAGTTGTTTTGGGCAATGCCATTTCTGCAGTAATGCATTAAGGCTGTGCTAATCCTGGTGGTCTGGCCAAATCCAATTTTGGGAAGTTAAATTGTCTCTACAGTGTATTGATTGAAGAGGCAAGTCTGAGGGGTTTTTTTTAATTAAATGGAATATGTCATATTTATTCATAATCATTCAGATTATTATGTTTTGCTTCTTCCAGTACATTTGTTCTTTTGCTCTCTGCAGGGTTGGTTTATTTTTTGCATACTACTCTGTGTTACTCCAACTCTACTGCTCCCATTTGCCAGTTCTCATGCCTAATTTTACACTTCTTGTTTGGAACTGCTGTGTGTTTACTGAGAATATTATGCAGATCTGAGCCTAAAGAGTAACAGTATTTTGGAATATTGGCATCGAAATGTCTTTCAGAAATTAGAAACTACTAAAATGACTTTGACAGAGTACTTGCAGCTACCCAATTACCAGTGGAGCATGTAAAGATAGCCTTCATTCTACCTGTGTCCACATGCTTGGTACATCAGGTTGACTGCCAACATGAGATATGGTGATTTAGAGAGAACTTCAGCTGTGTGCAGCCACAGTGAATATATAAATGGCCAGTTGGAACTTTGTGCCTAGATTGTGTACACATGAAACATGGGTTAGATTGCACTTGAATTTTCACCTACATCTTCGGATTTTTGCCCTGGAAATACAACCTATGTTACAACTTTGTAGTGACCTGTTAGCAGACAGCAGTGAATATGAGAGCTATCTATACCTATATATTTGAATATGAGAGAGTTGATACAAGTTCTTGGCAGCAAGATCAGCCTTTCTCAGGACAACATAAGGTCATGTGTGTGGTGTAGGTTACGGTGCAATAAGTCCTGTGCTTTGATATCCAGGGTGATCGCTGCATCATGGGCCAGCAGAGAAGCTTTCGAAAGAGGAAGATTTCATCATGGTGCATTAAAGGGAGAAGTTTCACATCAGCTCTCACATCCAAAGTTTGTGAATGTGTGAACTCTGATTTCTTATGGTGAGTCTGTCTGTGGACCTTTTGATTTATTGCTAGTAAATAGTTTGAGATGGGTTTATTTTTCTCCTTTTTCCCCTCTCCCCACATAGCCATATATAAATAAATAGGTAAACTGTTATTTGAATAGCGGGTTTCTTTTGCATTTGTTAAAAATATTGCCATGTTTAAGTATGTGTTTCACCTGCCTGAACAAATCCTGATGTTTTTCTCTATTGATCAAGGCTTGAAAAATGACCATTGGATTCATTTAAAAGGCAAACAAACCCTTTCTATTTGCAAATGAAAAAAAAAAAAAAAAGCAAGGAAATGTTTGGTCTGAGTGGCAAAGGAAACCTTTGAAAGATCTAAGGTACCATGGGAGTTAATTTTGCAGAACTGACAAAGTAATTACAACCAGTTTTTCCCTGAAGTGTACACGACTCCCACTGAAATTAGACTTAAAACAGAACTAGCTTCATCAACTTGTATGTTCATCTGGTAGAATAACATTAAAAAAAATTATTTACTCTTAAAAATGTAGTCTCATCCACCCCAAATTAGACTGCTGAGTGAAGTGGGGATAGTAACACACTTGGTGTTGATGTTTTTCAGTGATTATGGGTTTGAGCGCTCTGCACTTCTGAAGTCGGAGTCTAACAAATGCTTTGCTGACTTTTGGTTTAACCCAGAAGCACCGCCTGAAGACTGTGTGCTGGGGCAGGCATACACCAGCAGCACTGGGTAAGCTGTTTTTACATTCAACTGGCTTGATGAGGCTTCCAAAGAGAGGGAGAATATTCCAACCAGCGGCCTCAAAAGTGGTTTGAAAGAAATTCACATTTCAATCCTCAGGGGAGCCTGTAAGAGAGCTAGAGAGGGACTTTTTACAGGGGCATGTAGTGATAGGTCAAGTGGGAATGGCCTACAGATGAAGCAGGATAGGTTAAGATTAGATATTAGGAAGAAATTCTTTTCTGAGAGGGTGGTGAGACACTGAACAACTTGTGCAGTTGTTCCCTGGAAGTGTGGAAGTCTTGGTTGGGTGGGACTTTGAGCAACTTGGTTTAGTGGAATACGTTCCTTGCCCTGGCTGGGGTATTGGAACTAGAAGATCTTGAAGGTCCCTTTCAACCCAAACCAGTCTGTGATTCTATGAAATGTAAATAAGGTAAACTGTAAAAACTGGGAAATGCAAAAGCTGTGACGGACTTAGTGCATGTGCAGAAGCTTCCTACAAATTAAGGGAAGATAATTGTTCCTTTGCATGTTCCCAGTGGTTGAAAAACTAATCTGTTCAAGAAGAGGGGGAGCTGTCTTGTTTGCAGCATTTTAATGTTTTTTTTTGTAACATTCTGTAGCCATTTTTACACTTCTGATAGGAATGTCCATTCAAAACCTTTTCTTTTAGCTTATTGCTTAGGTCCAGAGCAATTTTCAGTTTGTATCTAATAAATTACTCTGAGGACCTGGTGACATCTCACAAAATTTCCCAGTCTCTCATTTTCATAAGAGCAAGAAGTTCTGCGAAGAATAGTTTTTTTTCCTGACCATATGGGACACTCAGAATCAAAGGAAAGCGTTAGTAACTGTAAACAATACCACATAGGATATACACTACAATGTAGTCTGACGTCTGTGCTGAGAATAACTTGCAGCTGGCATCTATTCTGGCTTATCATAACACCATCTCAGTCAGTTGTAGAGATGAGAACCAAATGATGAAATGTCCAATCTGGCAATAGAATCACAGTCTCTGTGTATATTTGCCTTACCAAGGAAAATGATGCCTTTTGGGTTGCGGCTGACAGCTGTGATATACAGAGTGGGAATTCAAAAGAGTGACATATGACTGATTTTAAAGGATGTTTAAAAATCGCATACCTACGTGAAACTGATCTGTAAATAATTACTGTATGCGCCCAAGTATTTCATTATTAACTCTTAAAAAGTGTTACTTCTTTCAATCTTTTATACTGTTATGTTACACAAATGTTACAAGTCTTTTAAGAAATTAATTGATTTTAGAGCAGTGGTTAAGCAATTAGTTCTGGGTTAATGCAGAAGCTGCTTGGTCTAATTTCTTCCTGGTCTTTGGGGTTTGAACCCAAACCTCTAGAGCAATTAAGACTGTTGAGTGCTAGGAAAGGGGATGGCAAGGAGGACAGAAGACTGTCTATCTCCTGGAGATAGGCACATTTCTAAGTTTGAAAAGACAGACTCTTCTAATGCATTCAAGTGAAATCCTCATCATGCTCCACACCACCCTTCTTCAATGGGTTTTCCTTAGTAAAGGCAAAGTCCCCAATCCAAGTACTTGCGTTGCGAGTTGGTTTTGATTGTCTGCAATCTTGTCTGTTTGTGTACCCAAGGAAAATGCATTAGCTACAATCACACTTGCACTTGGTGTCTCTGATGGCATTCTTTTGCTTACCTCCAGTTCACCATTTTCACTGCTTACTGTTTTTGCAGGTATAGGAAAGTTGTCTCTAATGTGTGTGAAGGTGGTGTAGACCTGCAGCAGAATGTAGCACAGCATATGTGTCCATTGATTGCTCCCAAGGGACTTCAGATCAGCATCAGAGAAGAAAGCCTGGCTGTTAGGCCTGGGGAAGACATCACCTTCATTGTCAGACAAGAGCAGGTAGTAATAAACGTTGGCTCCATGAAAGTTTAATTGCTGCTTTTAGGGTTAATTTCACTCCTACCTGCTTTGCTGCTGAATGAAGATTAATTTGTGCTTGAGACAAGGATTAATGGATTTGGAAATATTGAAACTTCTATTTTCAAGTGAATCAGACAAGACAGTAGACTCAGTGAATCTCCAAGTTCTACCCACAGAACAGGATTTTTGTCCTCAGCAGCAAAGGCAATAGCTTCTTGGAAAATCAAAGCAACTGGATTACCAAAGTCTCCTTGGACTGAAAATCTCAGCTGTTGTATCAGAGAAGAACAGAAATGCAGAGAATATTTAATATTCGGGTTTAAGTGTTTTTGAGAATCTGCCTTTCAGAAAGGAATGAGGCAAAGCTTTACAGAAATCAGCAAATAGCACAGCATAAGAATATTTATTATATATTAGTTCTGTTGCCAAAGATATGGGGGATTTTCTGTTTATTGAGTGAGATAAGGCCCTGACCAACAGCAGTAAGTAATTGCTGGATGAATTGTTTGCTATGGGTATGTTTCCTCATGTTTGGTTTTTAGCATTAGGCTATAACTGCTGTGCTCAGGTTACCAGAGTATTTGTACATCCTGGCTAACCCCACTGATTTGCAAGAATTATAAGAAAATTCACACATTTTGGCAAACCTGTGCAATATAAATTGAGCACTTGGGATTTATTTCTGTAATGGAATCAAGAAAGTTACGTGCAGAACACTGGCCTGCTTAATGCTTCTCAGGCTCTGCATCCCAATGCGTGCAGTGCCCCAACAGTTTGTGTGACAAGTTCTGCTGCCTCCTCTTTCTAGAATTTGTTTGGAAATGTTTATTGTAAGCCCAGAGCATTTGGTTGCAATTTGGATTCTAATGATTTTGATTGGCAGTTTGACTTTTTTCCTACTGAAACCTTCATGGATCTCTGTGGCAATATGAAAACCATTTAAAGTTATTCACAAATCTTCAGAAGTGAGGGATCTTGAAGACAATCTCGTGCTGTGTTTCCTGGTGAAGTCTGTGCTCTGTTCATGAAAGAGGAAGGCAGATTTAGAAGAACTGTAGCAGTTTGGTGCCCTCTATGGCTAAGAATAATATTTAAACTCAAATGTCCTGAGCGTTTCTTAGGATTTAATCTATATGACAAAATCCAATGAGAATTCATAACAATTACTGAGTTTAAGAAACAGCTCTACTACAATAAACCAAAGCATACTACTTTCTCCAATGAACAAAATTAATTTACTAGTTTCTGGGAATGCAGGAATGCCAGACATAAGAGAGTAAATAAAACATGCTTCTGTTATGCTTGGGCAGTTTTCAGGTGTCCTTAGAAATAATAGCAATAATGATGATGATGATAATTTTTTTTTCCATAGCCTGTTGGCTGAATATATGAATAAATAATATCATGACCATCTCCTATTTTTTATGGAAGTGGAAACCCCAACTTCTTATAAATTTAGCTGATTTATGTGACTCTTTTGTTTTCTGTCCACTGCTCTCTTTGTTTATTGGTCTGGAAAATATAAGTATCTTGTTGTTTTGAGTATAACACTCTCATCCTTACACTAGGAAAGCTATTTAGAATAATATAGTAAGAGAAGCTTGCATCTATTGGCTTTTAACACTGTTTTCTGTCTCATCTGGAAAAAATACACATGTGTACTTGTTAGCATAAGAAAGAGAGAACAAGAACTCTTTGCAAGCTAATGTCATCTAAAGAGATTCCACTTACACTGCTGGCAAGAACATATCTCTTCTGCTTTAAAGTGTAATATAATATATTATCTCTTCTGCTAAATTCTACTATTCTGTTGTCAAAAGAAAGAAAAAACTATTCACAGTGAAGAGGCTTTTAAGGTCCTTTACGTGTCTTGAAATATGGTGCTTAGGTATTTGATAATCCTACAGGTTCCTTATTATGGGTGTTCTTTTACATTGTAAGCAATGTTCTTTCATCTGATAAAACAAGGAAGAAAATCAACCACACTGCCAAATAACAAAAGGAGGAAATAATAGTATGTTTTCCTTTCTTCTGTTATGCCAGGGAACATAAATTCTAGCCTTGGTACCTCCTTTGATTTTCAAAGAATCATAGGATTATAGACTGCCAGGTTGGAAGGGACCTCGATGATCATCTAGTCCAACCTGTCTTGGCAAAAGCACAGCCTAGACAAGATGGCCAGCACCTGTGCTGCTGAATCTTAAAAGTGTCCAACTGTGGGGAATCCACCAGCTTCCTGGGGAGACTATTCCAATGGCTGATTGTTGCCATTTTGAAAAAATTACATTAATGCTTCCTTTTGAGATTAAATTTTGGAATAAACCTATTTCAGAGTGGCTTTTGGAGAAGTGGAGTGATTTTTGAATACTTCGATTGGTGTCAGTCCTTCTCTGCTCTGATGCCCTTTCCTGTCACTTGACCAGCACATGGGTGTATACATTCCTTTCCCAGAGGCAATGAAATTTTTTAAATCAATACTGTGTTTTCACAACACAGAGGCTTTTCTATGAAGCCTGGCCCTGTAGCCTGTCTTAATTGCATGGCTGTGATGGCAAGCAAGCAGGAACATAAATACTGTTGGAGATCAAGGAAGCAGGGCAGCTCACCAAGGCAGTGCTGCCAGTAGTATTGAGAAAGTATTACTGCTAACAGCTAAAATGAATTTTCCTTTCACTGCATCCAAATCTCTAGTCCATGTAGCACAGGCCTGATTTCTCTCCTGAGCAGCCACACCACGACAACATGAGTAATAGTCATGTTTGTCCTCTGACAGTATTATCAGCTTTGCAGTCCTTTAGGCCTGAGTTTAGGAAGACGGTGTCATTTAAAGGAGCACTTGGCAGAAGTGTGAGGAATTATGAATTCAATGAGATGTTTGATATGACAAAATTATTTGGCTGGACTTTTAAACCCTTTCCCAAACCCAGCTTGGTAATCTGCTTCATTAACCATGCATCTAATTTTGCACTAGAGCATGGTAGTTCTGGACATGCTTGGTGGCTCAGTATAATGCCGAACACCTCTGTGTGAAGATCCCAGCTTGGGTCTTAAAGGCCATATAATTGACACTAGGAGGCTGTGCTTAGATGGTGCTGTGAAGAGTGCCTAAGCCAATTAATTTTACTTTATAATTGGAAAGGCTAAAAGTTCGCGGGATGAGTAGTAATTTGCTAAAATAACAATCTTCAATTGCTTGCAATGATATGAGCGTTGCACCATTATGTTAGTTAATGTCCAGCTGCATTAAGACAAGAGTGATGATTTCTGTGCCATGCAACTTGATTAGTGGTCTGAGGTGTCTAATTTTAAGGTAGCACCTTACTGTGGAAATTTGGTATTATCTCTATTAATGCACACAGCATCTGTTGCACTAACAGCATTGCCATGGGTTGTAGTGGTTTTACTGCAGCTATTGCAATTGAGTCAAAATGTCTGGCAGGGGCTGAAAATGCTGCTGTGATTCAGTAAAGGGTTATAAACATGTGTCCTGTCTGTTTTGGTTCTGGCCATTTAAAATGTTTTTGATATATTTTCCTTTTAGGGTGATATATTGAGTACCAAATACCAGGTAGATCTTGGAGATGGCTTTAAGGCGATATATGTGAACCTTACGATGACTGGAGAACCCATCCGTCACCGCTATGAGAATCCTGGGATTTACCGTGTGTCAGTGAAGGCTGAGAATGTGGCTGGGCATGATGAGGCTGTGGTGTTCATCCAAGTCAACTGTAAATCATCTCTTTGCTTTTCTTACTTCTACCACTGTGTAAAAACCTCATGACAGCTATGAAGTAGTAAAGAAAATTGCTAGTCGCAATTAGGAAAAGGCATATTTTTTCAACACCCTCATGCAGCCTTGCAGTGTTGTATGTTTTGAATTCAGAGGCTTGTAAACCTAATGTAATAGGAGATCAGAATTAGTTTTATTCCAGTTGGACAGAAGGATGGTTTATTAATCTTTTAAATAAGTATGCCTCAGTTCAAATCTCAGGTTTTATCCATCTTCCTGATTCAAGACCCTGTTGGCAGCCTTAGCAGCCAAAATTTAACACTATATCTTTTTAAAGCTTCTAGGTGTAGTGTAAAGCAAATGAACAGATGTGTTGAGAAACATATGAGCTTTTGTATGATTTTGAAAAATATTAAAAATCTCAGTGTTTCTAAATCTAGATTTTAGTTAGTTAATTCTCACAGAATTTTAAATGGTACTTGGATATAACTTCATGCTGGCAAGCAGTATCAATTGTCTTAGTCTTCTCTCCCTCTCCTTAATTAAGACTTAAAATACCCAATCAAACATATATAAACTAAAGAATATCATGGCACAGGGATTATCATGCACCATTGCAAGTTTAATGTACCTCAGTCATCTCATAACTGAAACGAAGAGGGAAACTCATAACTGGAACTGAATATTCCTCTTTCTTTGAGATTCAAGGCAGCTATTGCTTTGTCTGTTTTCAGATGTGTCAAAAATTCAGAAGCGAGTAACATCAAAGGAAAAGATACTCATCTTGCATTCTCCAGGTGTCTGTTTCCCCTCTGTTTTGAGTGGTGTGTCTTCCATCTTAATCCCAAAGCAACGGAAATCACTGGAGCCATATACACAGATGTGCACAGATCCATGTGCTTTATGTCAACTTGATATTTATGTATTTTGCTGGTCAGTGTCCTTGAGTCCAGAGTTTCCAGTTCTGCTTTGATTGACAGATGGTGCCCATTCATACTAATGGCCAATCTTCTACTAAAATCAAACAGAAAGGATCACAGTCAAATTCTCAACTTCAGTTTCAGTATCTGTTTCTTTGTTATGTTTATTTTTTAAATCATTTGACAACTCCAGAGAGCTCAGGTAAATTACTTAGGGCTTCCACTGTTACTGTTTAGAAGCTTCTAGGTGCTGAGAAGTAGATTAGCCAGAGAAACAGTCTGTACGAGCAATGAAGAGGAAAAAAACTTGGTGTGACATCCTTCTCTCTGAGAATAACTTCTAACCCTTCAAAGAATGATGAGCAGTAGCAAGCCCTGATGGAAAGTGGAACAAACACTTTCTCAAAATGCGCTTTTAGTGTGACCTGTATTAGGATAAACAGTAAAAATAAAAGATATCGATTTTGTTTTATGCAGTGGATTTTCAAATTGCAGAAGCCAGAGTTACTTTACACAAGTAAGTGACTGGTCCATTAAAGGAGTTTTGGTGCTGATGTACAGAGGCAGCAGAGCACTGAGGCAGATGTGATCTTTCTATGTGATTTGCTCTCTTTAGTACCAACTAATTTACTTGAATCTTCTAATTTACCTAAAAAATTAAACTACAATTTCTATGTTCTAGTGAAGCACTAATAGCCATTAAGGAACATTTTCGCTGTGGAATGCCATGAAAGCAAAATGTCCACAGAGTCCTGCTTTCACTCTATCTGTGGCTGATGTATTATTCCCAGGGAATTTTTTCAGAGGCAAATGTTAAAGGGAATATTTTTCACTTCAGAGTTCTGTTGCTATGGGATGCAGGACAATTATATAAATTTTGGCTTTTCATCCAAATCATGCTTTCTGATCCAGATCACACAATCTACAACTTTATAATGAACTGTAAGAGAAATTAAGTCTGATAGCATAAATGTGAGTAGGCAACTCATAATAAAAAGACCTGAAGAAGACCTATATACATTGCTACATACACTGCACACATTTTGGTTTTTATGAAGCTGTGATCTTTATAGTAAGTGAATAATAAGGGAACTTGGAAAACTGTATGGAAACTATATGGAAATTATAACTTTGTTAAATAATCAAAAATAATTTAAGTCAATTAATTCCTCATATTACACATTTAAGGGTGCTATGAGGCTTGTTCCCATGCATTATGGACTTGTGTGACAGACACAAGCAGGAGGACTTGCAATAATTATTCTCAGTTCTTTAATATATAGGAGCAGTAAGATTGAAATAGCAGTCATCACTCAAGTACCAAACAACTTGCTCTTAAAAATTTTGGAAAAGAAAGCAACCTTCTTCAGGAGCAAAAACATATCTCAAAATCATCAGTTTCCTCTGGGAAAATGCAAATTTATGGCAAAATCAAAACAGTTTCACAGGTCCCTCAAGACTTCTTTATTTTACCTCATCAGAAGGAAATTCTATTTCTATGAGGAACAAATTTAATGAAATTCCTAAAATTTCTGAATTTTCTTCAAGATACCAGCAACAGGGAGAAACATTTAAACTCCTCTGGAAGGTAGTGAAGAAATCATTTGTTTAAACACCCAACATGTCTTGAATTCATGTAGGTGATTTAAGAGTCATTGTAGAAAATGCAGAGTGAAAGTAGAGTCTTACATTGGGATGAAGCAGCACACAGACTATGTGAAGTGAGGTGGGAAAGGAGATCAGACAACTTTTTTTCAGAGAAGTTCAATCAATTTAATCAACGTGAATTAGCAGTGATTCAGCTCCTGACACAGAGTAAGAGAGATACTTTAGACCAGTGTTAACAACCTGTAAGTTTGCACTGAGATGAAAAACCTTTGAATGAGTTAAAAAATATGTAGAATGGAACAAAAATGGATGTGTTAATATTCATTCTGTGTAATTAATGAATCTTGGGCCATATAGCATTTTGGTATCCTGGGTAGATAGTGCAGGTGAAGTTAAGAAATTCTAATTATGACATTATACTGTTATAAAGCTTTTACCTTTATGCATTCTGAAAAAGATATACTCAAAAACCTTTGAGGGAAAGGGTTTTTTTAATACAGTTACTGTGCTGTGAAGCAGCACAACACTAATAACCACAACACTTAGAAGCAGATAAAACCACCATAATGATGTGTTTCTTTTATACAAATAATAGTGCATACAACCTTCATAGGCAAAAGTTCAGAAAGGAATAAACTTACTCTAAGGCACATTTTGGAGTACAGAGGTTATCCTATTTTGATTTGCAAATAAATGCTCCCCTGATATACACATCTATTTTAAAGCATGCATTAATGAGAGTTTCTGTGTGATGTGAGCCTAACAGCTGATTTTTTATAATGAAAATGAGTAGTCAGCAGCATTCTTTTTTAGTTTTCTGCTTTTCCCTTAGCAATTTGAGATTTGTTAGATTTCTATTCATTTGATCTTTTGTTACTAAAAAAAAAAAAAACAAGCTGAGATTGCCTTTTCCACTTTTTAACTGGAGTATTTGCTTATGTGCTGTAGGATTGGAAATGCACAAAAAACCCGTGCATCAGAGAAGTGCATTTGGTTGATCTGTCTCATTGCTTAAGATTTTGTTTCTGAGATTTTGAGGTGATTTGGGGGATATTTTTTTGTTGAAATGAGGTCCTTCCAATTATGTCCATATCTTTTGACATGGATGTAAAAGCAGAAGGGAGGGAAAAAAAAATTCAGGACCTGATTCAGGTGAGAGGCTTTTGGGGAAAGAGGCATTAATAAACTGATGGATTCTTGTTCAATGATATTTTGGGAACTTTGTTCAGCTCCACTCCAGGCTTTAAACTTAGAAGTGATTCCAGTCATTGGAAGAAACCAGGAGGTGAACCTGACAGCCATCATACTGCCTAAGAACCCTAATTTGACAGTTTTCTACTGGTGGATAGGAAACAATCTTCAGGTACACAAATGGTTTTTACTGAGATTATTTTCAATCTCTTTCCAATAAAGGTTGTTCCTTTGTTTCAATTTCTAAACTATTTTCTCGGGGGGGGACACACAACAATTTATTGTATTTGATTACCCGTGGAAAAAAACCAACTTGCAGACAGGGATGGATTTGGGATCATGACATTGGTGAATGATGAAACTTGGATTTATATACTTCTAAACTGATAAAGTGAGTACTGTAAATTAAAGTGCTGTACAGATATATATATATATATATTCTTTGTTTCTGTGAGTCTAAAATAAACTGTCATATTAAAAAAATGGGATATCTTAAAGGATATCAAAACACTGAGAGCACTCAAACAATCTAGTGATATTCATTTGGGGATCAAGGTCTAGATAAATGTGTCCTAGAGCAATAAATATCCCAGTATTTCTGTTGGCAATATTTATTGTCTAGCTAGGTTAATTTCTTTTAAGGTAATTCTTTCAATAACAGATAAGCAAAATATTTTCTTTATGAGGCAGAGGAATGCTTCAAATAGGTGCAGTGAACTTTCTTCTTGTAAATGTGCTGTCTACCATAAAACCAGCCCGTATCTGTTTATTATTCTTGACTTTGCCATTGCTAGAACAAGTACTGCAGGTCCACATAGTCTTGTGAAGGGTTTTGTAATTCATACGGATGTGGTCAGGGAGCAGAGAATCTCAGCGCTGCCTTGGAGGTTACTGTGGACTGACGCTCTAAGTTGACAGTGTTAATCCTTTTGACTCTGATGTACCCCACATTTTTTTGAGGCAACTGACTTGCTTCATATAATCTTGTGGAGTTTGTTGAATCTGCCTCAAAATCCTTTTATTTTGGTGGATCTGGCTGAAACCCTAATACTCTACTGATTATTCTAGAAGAAATATTTACCCCATCTGGCTGCTTTTCTGTTTATAAAAGATCCATTTAGGGAAAGAAACATCCTGTATTGAAAATTTTTGTTGAACAATTTGATAAAATATTGATTAATTGAAAATTGATGTGAAAACTTTTTGCTGATATTTTTAGTTACGGCCTCTTCAGACACTGTTCTTGTGGCTCTTGCTCAAATTATATTTTCAACTTTTCTTTGTTTTTTAAAGCCACTGCTTACATTGGAGAGTTTTCTGGTGACCAAGTTTGCTGAGACAGGTGATGTCCGAGTTACAGTGCAAGTTTCCTGTGGGAGCTCCATGCTTCAGGACTCAAAAGTTGTCCATGTTTTTGGTGAGACATTAGTCTTTTTCATTTTTTTTTGTTTCATATGTACTTGTTGTTGTACATCTTAAGCCAGTCCTGGAACAACTGAACCTGTTGTAAAATTACGTCTAATGCCACATTTAACTCTTAAAATTGTAGGGATGAACTGTCACAAGGTAACTCCGTGAAGTGAACAGTGGGATTGTGTGGAAGAGTTTAATCTGAAACATTTTGTTTCCTCTTCTTGTTTTAAATGTTACTGTAGTTCTCAAATGCTATATGTGGCAACAGTGTTTAAGTAGTATTTTGGCCTAAAACTAGAAAGTTTCCCAGAATTTCTAAATAAATTAGTTTAAATGCCTCTGAAAAAAATGAAAATTTAGTTGAGTATGTACTCTCAGCACTGAATAAAATGTCAAATAATTGCCTTTTATCACACTATGTCACTGTACCTTTGATGTTTATCTGAGAGTTTGGATCAAGCATAGCTCTGCTGTAATTATTGAATAACCCTTCAGCTCTTGTTCCACATTGTGCCCTGGTGGTTTTTTGTGTCTTATAATGTAGTGACAAGGCATAATATACTGTGGAAAATGTAGTGCTGGAAAATTATTTACATTTGTATTTGTACTGTCACATGTGGAAATTGTGATAAGTATAAAACCTTCTGAATGCAGAACTAGAAGCCTTCTGATATCACACAATACACAACATTATACATCTCTATTGTCTGGAGAAGATTCTGTTATTTTTGCTTTTATTATGCTTATTAATTTAAAATAATGTTAAAACCCACACAACAAAATGGAGCTTTTATGAATCTTCTCCTTTTCTAAGATAAATGAATTTAACATTTATGCCACCACTTATGTATAAGTGCATCAGCTTTTTTTGTAATCTTTAGAAGTATAACCCTCTTAGTGTGACTACATCAATGACTTTGGCTTTCCAGCACTCCTTTTGCTCTTACTATTGACCAGTCCTGATATCAGGAGCACGAAAGTACTGGCCATGACAGAAATAAAGAAACTTTTGGAAAAGAAAGCCACACTAAAATATAATTCTGTTGGAAGTATTGGGAGAGGCAGGCTTGACTCCTCCATTCCAGGCTATCTCTATTTCTTCTTTGCATTAAGTTGCCCAGATGTTCATCCAAGGAGCACGCAGGGAGAAAGGGAGGGTTTTAAGAGACTGTTTTCTGAGGATCAACCCATTTCTAGTATTTCAGATACTTTTGACAATATCCAGAGAAATGTTGTGGATGTACCTTGGTTTTATTTTTTCAGAGGGCAGTGGTTAGCATTTGTAATATAATTTCTGTTCTTATTTTCGTATCTAGTTTATGCAATATGTGAGGTATTCATTTTGTATGGAAAACAGGAAGGTGTAATGGGCAAAATCCCACATATTTATGATTTGGTAAGAATACAACCCATTGGCACATTCTCATTTCAAATAAAAGAAACCAATCACTTCTGTGTGACTTATTGACCTAAGGGAAAATTACTGGGAACATTATGACCCCAGAGCATGTATGTAAATCTCCTTTGTTTATTTCTTTTTCTTACTGCTTTTTAATCTTTAGGCATAAATTTGATGATGTTGATGAAAATACAGAGAGAAATTGAGTGCCTGACAACATAGAGCAGTGGGGGTCCTAGATACTGCAGTGCTGCACAGCAAAAAAACACTAAATATAGATTTTCAGCTTTTAGTTCTACAAAACCCTTTTTGCAGCTTGGTTTATCACTTGTACAAAATGTTTCTTTTTTTTTTCTAGATCATTTTCACGTTCTTCCATTGAAGTTTACTAAACACCTGGACATGTACAACCCCGACATACCAGAGTGGAGGGAAGACATAGGGCGGGTAGTAACACGACTTCTTGCAAAGGTGCTCTTTCAGATTGCTCGTAAAATGTTCCCTCAGCAGTTGTAAAGCTTGAAGGTTAAGTTAATACCTTCTCATTTAGAAAAAAGGAGGCAGAGCAAAATAATAAAGTGAACCTCATGAGCCACATTTCAAGCAAGTTTGAGCCTAGTGTCACTTTTACGTGCAGGCTGTAGACAATGATATTGTAACGTAGACAGTTTAGGTCTAACACAGCCTAATTGGCAATTAATGCTAAATATTGCTCTCTGGGATTAGGAATAGACATATTGGCAAATACTGCTGACTCCAAAACAGGAAGAGTAGCTTAAATGTGAGAGATTTAGAAGCTAAGCAAAGGATGCTTTGTAACATAAAAGACATCGTGTAAAAACAAAGCACAAAGAAAGAATTTATTATGCTAGTTGTGTAACTGAAAATTACATATAATATATAGGCATGCAGTTTGTACAGCTGATTCTTTAGATCATGTTCACAAAAGATATGTGGATTGGGAATAGCTGAATCCTGTAGGTTAAATCAAATACAAAGCTCTGCAGTAGTACTGTGAGATAAGTAAAGAGCACCTCATGAAAACTTTGAACTTGAGAGCTGTGCTCTTCACATATGCACCCTGCCAGCAACTGAGGGTGCACACACTGGCTTTTGTGAAGGCAGTAGCATTGAGGTACAGATTGATATTGTTTCTAAAATATATGCATTTTAAATCACTTTATTTTTCCTGGATTTACAGTAGTGCAAGTCAGGTTCTAAATTTTTGACTTTATACAGTTTCCTGCCTTTTTTTATAGGCTCATATCAAACATCAAATTAAAGTAATTTCCCACTTTTATCAACTTAAACTCATTCCATAACCGGTGTCAGTCAAAAATATATTTTACTCCCTTATAAAATAGTCCTTGCATTTTAAGAATTACTAAAACATTTACCAAAGTATATGGAAAATTTAATGGAATTTCAGAGTCTGTTTGAGGAAGGCTATGGCAAGTGCCCAGAGTGTCGTCATTAGAATTGTGGGGCTGTATTGTACAACATGTGGAGGAACTTGGGACTAAAACCAAATTTGGACAAAATATTTTGAAAAGTGATTCATCTGACTTTCAGTGGGGAAATGATGGTATTTGTTACCATTTCAGGAACTGAACCTAGGTGCTCCTAGTCTCACATTCAAAGACTTCTCTCTGCCTGTAAAACACAGATGGAAAAGTAACCTTTCTAGGCTAGAGTTAGCTGTAATTAATATGCCCTTCTAAGTCTATGCTGTATCTGAATGGCCCACAAAGAATCCTAAATCACTTGGGATTTTTGTTTTATCATACCCTAGAAATGCTCAGCCATTGCAGAGTTTTGATAAAACCTGCATACCTCTTCATTTTACTTCTTTTCTTGATGCCACTGAGTTACTTTAATGTGAAAACAACACTTAGCTCTTCCAGTCTTCAAAGAGCAGCTCACATTTCAGTACACTTATGCTTCACTTTGTTCATGCTTCTAGTGGAATCCCTTCCAAATATTAGGGATCTGAACACCAAATCTAAAAGCCACATGTGGAGTTACTTATGTGTTTTATATAAAACACAAACTGTGCTGTCCTGTAATTTGCCATATGCTTTTGCTGTCTTCACAGGAAACCAATATACCTGAAGAAACACTCATGACAGTTGTGAAACCTGGTCTGCCCACAGCTGCTGACTTGCATGTGCTACTACCAGCAAACCAACCAAAAAAGAAGAGAAGTTTAACTAGTGATAAGGTAAACAGGGCAATGCATGTCTGTTTGGGACAGTCTTAATCCTGTTTTGCAATAAATGTCTGTACTCTCATTGTCTTTATACGAAATTTAGAGGTGTTCTCTACCTATGTAAAGATCTCACTCCCACCTGACAAGATACATATAGAAGCTCACATGAAGCTGTGTCTGCTGTGTTTGTCACTGTAAAGATCAGCATAATCTAGTGCTTACTGGTATTAGTGTATTTCTCAAGAATATTTAATATTGATCTGATTTTCTAAACAGAAACAGAGACAATACATGTCATCCTGTGAAAGGCCAGTAAAGCAAAGAGTGTGTTTAGAACACTGATACTTCTGAAAAGGGATGAACCTTCTCTGCACTGTCTTCAGAAGCAAATTAGATTTCAGGTCAAAACTGAACCAGAACCTTAGTAATTGACCCTTAATGTGAAGAGCATCAAGCAAGTATTTTCTGCATTTGTGAGCAAATGTCCTTTTCAATTGGCAAGAAACAAATATAGTGAACACTGGAATGAAAATCAGACATTGTTTTCTCCCTATTTATTTCCAAACCATGTTTCTTTCATAATAAAGGACCTTATGCCAGTTGAAAACCAGAAGGCTCTGTGGTGCTTATAATCTATTATATTTGTCCTTTACTGTGATAGAGAAGGAACAGGTCCCAGCTCTATGTCTGTATCTTGGATTTCAAGTCCTGCCAGTTACAAAGAATCAGTGCAAGGTATCATTAATTTTGAAGGGCATTTTACAGCTTTTTAAGACAAGGTCACAGCATCCAAAGAGCTGGAGAAGTAGGCAAAATGAAACTCTTCATATTAACACAAACCCCGTAGATTGTGTTTGGAGTTGATGAGATACACTTTGAAAGGTCCAAAGGTGTATGTTGAAGCTGTCCAAGTACTTGAACAAGTGTCTATATTTAAGATGCACAGACTACAGTGAGAGTGCACAAAGTTTTATGCTTTTTTGGCATTCCCAAACCTTTACCATTCTTCCCTGTAATCACGGTGAGAATACCCAGGAGTCTGAATCCCTGATTATGTTGCAGAAAATAGTTAATTTTAACAAATTGTTTCTTTTGTTGAGAGCGACTCATGAACTAATGGTTTCAGCCAGGGGAATATTACCACAACAAAATAATTTACAACTCTCCATTTCTTGAAGAAGCAAAGTGCAGCTTCTAAAAGAAAAATCTTTATTTTGAATGCATGTGGAATGGGAGTCTTTAATAATGTAAGGAAACTAATGGTGATAGATTCTTCTGTTGTACAAACATTTTATTTCAGTGCAAAATGTTATGCATATTAGTTTTGCCTTTAAATCCCAATTTCTATATTGGTACTGTGCTTCAAGGCAGCTTAAAGAATATCATCAATTGTAATCAATGCTACCTCAAGGTTTTTCTTCATGTTTGTATATGAAACATCAAGTGAGTTGGCCTAAAGCATAAAGAAGAACAATCACATGTTGCAAATGATTTGGAAAAGCTTCTGTTCAATGGGGCTGTAGGGATATTACAGTAGTTTAACAGGGCGTGATTTTGTGATAAGTTGTCCTCCAGTAAGATCTTACAAAGTTTTTCTGAAAGTAGAGGAGCACTGAAAGGGGAAAGTAGTTGTATAATCTGGAGAATAGATGTGCATTTCTGACATTGTTAGGATGAACGGGGCCAGACCCATGATGGCTGGGGCTGGAGCAAGAACAAGGGAGACAGGAGCAATTACAGAGTCCTATGCTATCCAATGATAAAAAGTCATGTGCACTAATATCACATTTCAACACAGATTGTACAGTACAGTGCTGTAGAACCAGTCTTCTAGTGCCAGCTGCCTACATTTCTATTTTTATATTATTGCTAATGGGCACTACTTTAGCTATTGATATGTGCATATGAATTTTGTTGATTTAGACTTGAATGGCACAAATTTTGATAAAATGTCTTGTATCAGAATCTATTGTGACTTGAGAAATATCCTGAAATATACCTTATGTGAATAAACTTAGAAGCAGTAACTGGTTAAGTCAACAGGAAAATACTTCTGTTGTCACTTGTTTAAAGATTTCTTACATTCTCTTCTGTTACCAGAAGAGAATCTTGACGATCTTTATTGTGTGTCACTGGAAGGATGTGCTTTGTCACACTGCTGGGGTGTGTTGTGATACTACTGAGAAGACTCACCAATGCAGAATGTTTTTTGCCCATTTGAAGGAGGTGTCCCTGAAATCATTAACTTAGTTATGAAATGTCTTCCCTTAAAGAGAACCTATTGGTTCTTGGCTGAAAACCTTTCAGATTTGGGAATATTACATTATTTCAGAAAGATTGTTAAAGGCAATATTTTCTTGGTCAGGCAGAGAAAACCTTCTTACTGGAGTTTTTACTAGTGTTTTACATGGAGTGTTGGGATGTGATGCTATCTAGAATGGGAGTCATTATTGATAAAAGTAGCCATCAATAACAAAGATGATAAGTAAGCTGTCAGTGTAGTAGTAGGGGCCCTTTGGAAAAATTCTGAAATTTGGTTCCAATCTGACAGAAGCCCTTTTTGTTAAAAATTTATGCATGGAGCTGACTGATTTAACCTGCTTTCAGGAAGACAGCAGTTTCAAAAGTATTCCATTCTAATCATTGACTCTAGAGAAGACTTGGTTGCTTAATTTATGCACATCTATTACATGTCTAATGTCAGGCGGGATGAGTCCAGTGGAAAGAGTCAATTAAAGTGCAATTAAACTATAATCTGAAAGGCAGTGGCTCTGAGGAAGAGTTGGGACTCTATCCAGACAAACTACTGCATGAAAATTACCAGAGAGTTGCTTTGGCTAAAAGGGAAAGTCAGAACCCCAGATGTATAAGTAAGTGTGTAAGAGTTTGAATAGTGCCATTATTTTTGCATTCTTATAATGCAGGAGATGTGTTCCCATGTACAAATATTATCATCAGAAAGGATGTAAAAAAAGAAGATGGAAAATTGAAATGCTGGTATAAGAACCTTAACTTAGAAAGTCTAGAGAGGAGCTCCAAACACTGTATTTGTTAAAAAATTGGAGAGGTGGCAGCACCATGCTCAGAAAATACTGCAAAGCAGAAAAAAACCCCCCATGGATACAAAAAAAACCATCAGTCTAACAGTGAAAGTCATGTGAGAGCCTTTGGCTGGACTCACATGAGATTCAAAGTTTTGACCTGTGGAGCTGCAGTTCACATAGACTTGGGTGGGAGCTCAGCGGTGGGGAGAGGAATAACGAACAAGTATTAGTTACTTAGGCAAAAACCAAAGCATATGTTGGGTTCTTCAAGCACCTGCCAGGAAAATATAAGGTATCCAAAGTTATGGAACTCAGTAATTTCATTTATTGGCTCTAAGTCAGATTAACCTAAAGTAGTGGTCCCTCTTGCACTGTACACCATGAACACATGAATGAAGCTGGATTGATATGAAGCAACTCTATTTCATGGCACCAGCTTCAGTTTGAAGCCTGCTAAACAGTGTAGTTCTCATATGCATTGTCTTTTCAGACTTTGGGCAACTCAGGAGCTATCTGGTGTAATTGTCTTGTAAAATAACTGAAGCCATGCTCACATCACCCTTATGCTGAGTCATTCCTATACAAAAATAATGTAATAAAGTCAGTGAAATGGCTTCAGAAGTTAGAAATTCCTCAATAAGAATGAAGATATTTGAACTTTTGTGCAGTCTCTCTCCATAATATAAGAGACACTACAGGGATTTCTATCTATTATACTGCAAAGGCTTGTCAAAGATGAGCATCATAATTGATAATATCATAAAAGAAGTTACTCGTGAAGGTTTCATGGATATAAAGCATATTTCTAATTTGGCATCCTCTGGGAAGTCATACCCCAAATTATAAGGCATAGAGTATAAAACTAGATTTGATCTTTTAGAAAATTGCCCATGTTGAAGACGCAAGCAAGTAGAAGGGATAATTCAGACAATTTGTCATCTGGGGTTAGGATATGATGGTGTATTTAATGGTTCTACTCCATAAAAATAGGAGAGACCACATTTTACTATACTCTATCCACTGGAGGAATACCAATTTTTTTTCCACATGGATGGATGTTTATATTTCTACGGAGTATTCTTAAAAATTAGATATAGATGGAATTCATCCTATTATAGTTAAGGAGTTAAGGTAAATTATGACATGCAGTTCATTATTAAATAGCAGTTACTTTTCATAGAAAAAATCCAAAGTGACATCACAGGTGTTCTTCTGATAGGTTAGAGGAACGGAGAGTTTTTAATATGGTTTATTCATTGTTTGAGTTATGACCCAGATAAACTCAATAATGCATGCAAATAACTTGCTGTCTGTCACCTCTTGGGTAAATGTAAAGACTTTGGTAATCAGAAAGAAAGAATTGGCTATAAACTTTTGACATTCGCAGCTTTTACTTCTTGGGGAGTTTTGCATGATTTTTAAATATGGGATTTCAGCTCATTAACAAATGCTTTCTGAGTTTCTCACCATTTAATGAGCCAGAGGTTTTCATTTTTAGAGTGTTGGGTGTCTCAAAGTGGAACAGAGTACAAGATGTCTGACATTCTCTCTGCTGTATTTTCAGAGAATAGCAGCTATAAAGCAGGCCCTGAATGCACACAACATCAGTTTCTTTCTGAGGGGAGGATACTGGGTCTTGGTGACTTTAGCTGACTCCAGTTCAGGTAAATATGTAAACAAAGCTCCCAACAGACCAATTTTGGATGCCAGTTTGAGTTCTGATAAGTTAAGGAAAAAATCTTTGTATCAATATATATGTATACATATAACACATGTATATACTAACTTGGTACTTGTTACATATGAATAAACATATATATGTTAATATATATACACGTATGTGTACACACATATATATGTACACATTTTCATTTGATAGTTAATAAGAATCACAACCAAATAAATACTTCTTAGGTATTTCCATTTTGTCATAGTTCATGATTTATATCACAAGCTTCTTGCTTTTTCTGTGTAACCACAACATTAAGTAAATACCTCTATTGCACAAAATAGCGCCCTGAAGAAAGAGGCAACCAGGCTTCAAAAAACCCCGTCTGGTGATCTAAAGGCATTTTGGTTGCACTGGCTGCTGAGAAAACAGAGCTTCTTTACCCTTATCTCAGCCATTAGCTCTACTGCTATAACTACATGGGTCAGAGACACAGGCTTGCTTTTCTGCAATGAATCTCTGATCTTCAACTCAACTAATGCGAGGATTGCTGTAGGGTCCCCACATTGCTAATCCTGTCCTGAGATAAATTATGTTTTTACTCTTTTTAAAACAAGTGGATACAGGGGATTTTTATACATGCATTTCCTGCCTCTCTGGATTCACTGTGTTGATGGAAACTGGTTGAACAGAGTACATGTGCATAAGTGTGTGTATTTTTAACAGAGAGACGTTAAAGTGATGTTTTAACCAGAAAGTTCAGCTTTGACTTGAATCTTTTATTGTAATTTTTTGTGTATTATCTCCCATAATATATCCTTCTTTTGTATTTCAGTGTGTTGTGGAAGAACAGCTTTAGCTGACTGCAATCAATTTGTGTAAATGCTAGTGGTATTTTATCTGTCAGCTCTCTGTAGAAGACAAAACTCTTTTATCTGTAGAACTGTGCTACAGTCTCACTGTGGTACCTCATCTGGTTTAAAGGGTTGATATTTGTTAGCCACCACAAAAGGCTGGGATTGAAAGAAGCCCATGTTCATTCCAGCCTTTACTGATGCATGACCTTGATGAGTTCATTTGTTGTTCAGAGCCTTAGTTTCTCCATCTGCTAAATTAATACAGCCCTATTTTTGTGAGGCGCATGTACTTAGGGTGTGTGATCATTTACTATGAAAACTTTAGATTCCCAGGAAAAAAACCAACCACTGAGTATGTGAATAATTAAATCTCCAGGGTCCTGGGGTTTGTTGTTGGTTGTTTTTTTTTTTAATTGGCCCTCTGTCCTTCAGTCACAAGTCACCAATTAATTCTGTGTTTTTGTCTTTTTGAAGAAGCCACAGATGGAGGGAAGAGGTTGCACAAATACCAACAAATGTTTTTGACTTGACAATTAAATAGAAAAAAAGGCTCAACAATGTGACTGATGTGAAAGAGGACATGCTATACTGTTCTTTTATTTTGTATTTCAGATTCTCAGAGGATTGGAGGAGGCAGTGGCTACTGGGCTATTGTGGTTCTCTTTGTTATCTGTCTAGTTGCAGTCGGGGCTTTCATCCTCTACAAGTTCAAAAGGCAAGTAAACCTTAATCAACACATACATTTTAAGCATTAGATTTACCCACAGACTAGCAAAGCAGAGATTGTAATTCGAAAAGGAGATTTCTTGAAGAATTGCAAGAAGCGCATCACTTTGAAAACCGTGTTTTTCTGAACTTTTCAGACCTCAAGGTACTGCACTGGTGCTTGTTTCACTTGCTACATTCCAAGATAAATATCAACAATATGGGAACTATGGAGAGTTTCTTCAGTTTGTCTAAATGATATCATCAAGAATCAGAGCTGAACTAAAATATTATTCCTGATTAATTCCCTCCTCATTACTCCTAACAGTTATGAATAAACTAAAGCTATCAGGACAAGGAATGCATCTGCAATGCTGATTTGCTTAAAAAAGTAGTTTTATCGAAGCGCATAATGCTCTGGGGTTTCTTTTTGCACATATTAAATTTTAATTGCTGAGGCAATGCCATGGAGAATGACTGACAGAAAGAGATTAGTGTTAATTTGACTCTAGAGTGTGTGGAGGGAAGAAATATTTCTGGAAGTTGCCTTTATGTGAGGCATATTCTCAAAATTGAGCCATGCCAGCCTTAGACAGTCCAATATATCTTTAGTCTGCAATTGATTTTAAGCAGAGCTGCTGGGGTGCTGTGCAATTTAAATAATTTGTTCTTGTTCATGGGATATGTTATCACTGGCTAACCTTCTTGGTATTTCTTTATCTCTGGGGCCTTCAGAAGCTCTTGGGTTTGAGCATACTGGAAACAAACCTTCATCATCATCATCAAATCCTGTTGTCCTTACTCAGTGAGGATTGATATTGATTTGCCAAATTTTTGAAAGATTGATTTTTATTTGAAATAAATTTAAGTTTCTAGAACTAGGAGCAGCATTAAGTTTGTGAGAGCAGTGTGTGTAGCTAGCACTGAAGTATGAGTTTGTTTAGCTAAAGAATTTTTATGTCAATAGAGAAAAGCCCCTTTTCTTCAAGAATCTCTTAACTTTCTCACTGCAGCATCTAAGTTTCTTAGAGTTCATAGTGAGTGATTGCTCAAAAGTGCAAAGCACAGAATACTGTATCAGACTGTCTACAATGGAATAAAAATCCATTTTACTCTGTTAGGTGCCTGCAGCAAGGAAAAATGTAAAAATGGTTGATGTGATGTAATTATATTATTTCAATACATGGAGGATTTGCTGTTTGTAGTTTGGGATCATAAAACTTCCTTGTGATATCTTTCAAAACCTATGTGATTTATATCTTTTATTAGCTTTTAAATGAGAGCAATTAAATAACAGACACAATTACTGCATGGTAGAAGAAGTATAAAATATTCAATAAAGGAATAAAAAAATAATCTTCCTTAAGTTCCTTTTAAAATGCCCCAATGAACGATTGCTTTATAAATAGAGCTTTTATTAAGAAGGAAACTGTAGTACAATTTGCAAAGCGTGAGCTTTAATGTCTCTTACACTTCTGTATATAATTTGTGAAAATCATTGCATTTACCTTTTGAGGGAGTAATCTAAGTGTGATTGAGGAGAATTGTGAGTTATATTCAAATATTTGTCAGTAGCCTGAAAATGGCTGTTGGCATTGATGAATGACCATGCAGTAGTATTCAATTTTAGTCTGTATCTTATCTGTTTCAGAGATGTTTGACAGAATTATTTTTTAATATTCCTGATAAGCTTTTCAAATATGACATTTTTTTGGTTACATCCTTCATTTGCAATCATCTTCAAAGAATATTGAGTACCCAATCAGTGCTATGTTTGAAAAATCGCTTTTTTCTTGAGCACTCAAATCTTTAATCCCTTTTAAAAAGTCTTTCCCGTGTTTATGAAGATGGATGGTGAATTTCTGGATCCCCATGGAGTACTTAGTTGGGAGTACAGTCCCTTTAAAGTCAATACAGTGAGTATGGAAGTTCACAAACTGGTCCACAGGGACTGAGGCTATGAAACTGAGTGTCCTTTACGGATATAAAAGTTGAAAGTTGTAATGCACAAAGGCAGCTTGTCAATATTATATGCCTGTGTTTTAAAAATTAATTTGCTAAAAGAATACCATAGGCAACAAAAAATGTTCAATTTTAGGTGACAATTTCAGAAGACTGACACTTACTGTATCCTGTGGTAACTCAGATTGCCCAGGCAAATAAAAATATTATTTATTTCCACATAGAAATTACAGACATGTATAAAGTTTTGAAATGTTAATACTGTCCATAATTCTGATGTATGATCCACAAAATTAGGGAGGATATGGAAGACATTCCGTGATGCTTTCCTTTCATTCAATGTAGGTTAATAGTCAGATACTCCCTTCACAAAAGGTTAAAACTCCTTTTTTCCCCACATCAGAGACATTTTTATTAATCCTAGTTTTATCACTACACTAATTGGGTCTACAGGACTTGCAGTTGGCATTAGAGCACAGGCAGAGCAGGTGGTATGCAAGAGAATGCATGGACATGCCTTGGATTGCTCTCTCTTTCTCTCTCTTTGCTGTCCCAAAGGACTGTTAACATAAGGTTGATACCTGGAAAGATGCAAAGAAGGAAAACTTGGCTCGCAAATAAGATGGTGACTGGATTGGCAGGGAAGTTACAGCTTCATACATGAGAACATTTCATCTATTTGCAATGAGAGAGTTCAAGACTTGTGATGAAAATTAAAGAGAAACTAGTGTAGACCTACAGTTTTGATAGAAAATGGAGAAACCTGCCCAAACTGCTCCAAGGTTCCTGAGTGTTGAGGCTCCTTGTCCCCAAGCATGCCCACCTGCCCGGATTATTTCTGCAGTTCATGTCATAAGAACTTGGGTCTCAATTTGCAGTAATTTTTGTCAGACTGAACTGGGAGATGAACGATGGTATTGACAAGACATCAGAGACTAATCCAATACCTCTTTTTTATTAACCTTTTATAAGTAATGATGACACCTGCTACTCCTGTTTAATTTCTCATTTTTTTGAAAACTGCAATATTCGGTGCTTAAGATTGGTGTCTCTCACAAGAAGTAAATCTCAAAAAATTAGTTTGGGGGAGAGCAGTAATCTAAAAATAACAATCTTGCATAAAATTTTTTGTCAGATGGCTCATATGGAGAAAACGAAGAGAGTATTTCATCTAATTAGGTAGGGGGACAGGGGAAAAACAGAGGCAGATTCACACAGAAGTAGTGGGATTTTGGCTGATTAGTGATATGCATAGAAAAAACCAATGCCATTTCATAGCTCCTCAAGGAATTCCCATTAAATAGGAAAGATGTAAGTTGCATAATTTCCCTCTAATCAAATCTAACATTTTAGGATCTGCTGGATAACAAGAGTTGTCATGGCTGTCTAGCTACTGATTAGGTGACTGTAGGTCACATCTGTTCTCATATGCCCTAATCCCAAATACTTAAGCATTGACTAGGAAAACTGCTGCCCTCTGTTCTTATATGCTGTAAAATTGCAATCATTTATCATTTCATCTCCTCATTCCTGAACCTCCCCAAACCTCCCCTCTTTATCTGATGGCTCCTTTGTGCATCCAACCACTTCTTGCCACATGTGCTTGAAAAACTGGTGCTGGAGTCCCCAGAACTCATGAAGTGACTCCTGGCAATCCTGAGCCTGGTTAGTTGCTTTGGGGGGAAAAAAAAAAAAAAAAGGCAAAAGCCAAAAAGTCTTGAGAAACACAAGGGTTTCCTTTGTGATCTGAGTAGATAAGGACATCAGATTAGGGCTATTTTTACTCCATAAATGAAAAGTAAATTTTAAATGATAGCTGTGATGGTTTTAAAAACTAATTCTAATTGTTTCCAGCAAATGAGATGAGCCATTTGGTATAGTTGAGCTATTGGTTTAGATAGTTTGGGGGGGGGGAATTTTGAGCATGGCAGCAAGGAGCAAGAGGTCATACCTGGCTGGTAAGTGTGCCCATGATTGTGGAGCTAGAGGCTGTGCAGCCAGCAAACGTGGATGGTGGGCAAGCCATGAGCAACACACCTTTTCCTTGCTCTTACTTTCTGAGCATGGAAAGCATCGATCGGATGCCTCAAGCAAACAATATGTTGTAATACTCACTAGTATGCTTCAGTTGTTTAAACATCCAGGTAAAATGGACTGCAGCTGCTTCTTTTGACCACAAAAGCATGAAGCAGCTGGAAAATATTTTTTTGTGAAATGAGGACTATTTTTTAATGCAGATCTGGGACCTGCATATATTTTTTTATATATCATACCATCTTTACTAGATTTGGTTCAGTAAGAACACATTTCTTTCATTCCCTTTGAAACAATGTTTGTATTTTTTTGTGGGTTTCAAATTGCTTTCCAGAAAAGATTTTTTCTTCCTCTCAGAAAAAGCTTTATGGTGTGGGGTCTTGGGCAACAGAATAGAGAAGGGAAATAGCACTGTCTGCACAAGGCAGAGTGGAGGAAAGGAAAATTGTATTTTAGCCACATCAAAGCTGCCATGTAATCATCATGTTACTAGCGGAAGATCTGAAATCATCTTTTCTTATTTTTCGTTTCTGTATAACAGCAGGATATTAGAGTAGCCAAACCAGAGCAAATATTTGGCTTTTCTGCTTATGTATTTTACCTGGTTAATAGTAATTTGATTCTCTGAAAAAGTATGAAACTCTTTGTCTTTTAATTTGTATGCAAAGTACTTGCAGTGTACTTAAAGCTGCATACATCGTTTTCACAAATCACGGTGAATCCTCTTTGCCCAGATTTATACCATTTTGTGTGTATTCCTTTTCCCCCCACTAATATCAAGTGCCACTTTTGGTAAATGAACCCCCTCCTGGGTCATTTCCACAATCTGGAGCAGAACTCTGTTATCTTTCTGCCTCATTGACTTACTATCTCATTTTCAGTCTCTGAAGAAAAGCTATCTTTTTTCCCCACCTTGCTTATACTACTTTTATGTTCCATGAGAGCAAGCTTAGTCCCAGTCTGTGCTTTTTAGTGATAAAAAAACCAGGCACTAATTTAATGATCCATAATATTTTGTAAAAACTTCCTCGGAAATCAAAGTAATAGCATGCTGAAAAGATTTCTGAAATGAAAGAGGCGAGTATATCAGGGGTGTCTTAAAGCACAAAGAAGTCAGTCATCTGAACATAAATCCAAACATGATAAAGTCAACACCACAATAAAGTATTCTATTTAATGGATTATTATTGTTGTTGTTAGTTTTCTTTAAGTTCCAAGAGAATGTTACAGTATTCTGTATCCTTTGCCATGTGAATATGTTCCTATTTTTTATACTAAACAGAATTTTAATCAAGCCTCTGGAAAACAAATGAAGTTGCATAAAGGCCAATGAATATTTGCTCCACAAGGAAGGAATTCAAAACTAAATAAAGTAGAGTTTAAATGAGTGGGAATCAATATCTCATCCCCTCCTGCTGTTCCTTCCTGATGAACATTTTTAAGTACAGTTTTGGGTATGAACTGATTAGAATTTGTGAATATAGGAAGAAAAATATACCTTCTGGAATAGCTTCTAAAAGGTGTAGGACCTGAAAAGCATGGTGAAAGCCATGTGCTGTGATGTTCTTTAGTGGTACTGCACAGAAGTATGTCTCTAGCCTCATATTTTTATGGTTCTCAAAGCAGACATGAATATTTCTTCTTCTTCATGATTGAAATAAAATGCTACAGGGAAAACAAAAGGAACTAAAAATGTAAACCATGGGGTGCTGCTGAGCAGAGGTAATTGTCTCCAGTGATGGATGTGAAGCACATGCATTTTGCAGATGAAGAGTAAACCCCCAAAAGAAAGTATTGCATAATCTTTTTGTCTGTTCTTCTAAATGTGCTTTCAATTTCCATACTTCTGATATAAATCTCTTGGGTCAAATTTCGTGCCTTGTCATGTTTTCATAGTTGTCTTTTATGTACACCCAAGCATTTCAGCTCTGCCTACTTCAAACACTTACATTGGACTCAATTGCTTCTTGAAGAAGAGCAAAGCACATCAGGGTACGCTAGAGTTTTTCTCTGTATAATTAGGGATAGCAGCTTCCTTCCTATCTGTTAGAGCAGTGAGGAGCAACTGGAAAATTGCCACTATCAGGGCCATCTTAGCAAGGATTCAGTATCCACATCCTGTTTCATCTCTCAGTGTGGTTGTCCCTTGTAAACAGAACATCCGGCACATGTGTTAAAAGTGCCTCTTGAAAAGGATTGGACTATCATTTCATTCGGTGTGGTTGAGTCTCTTCCATGTAAAAATGAACCAATATGAAATACGTAGAGATCTCTGCAGTGTATAAAAGGTCTAATGCCTACAGTATGTGTCTTCTCAAGACCTGTAATACTCTCCTTCCTCCAGTCCATGCTCAGTGTTACAGTCTAAGGTGCTTTCCTCTGTCAGTTTGAGGAGCAAAGGAAAGTATGGAAGTACTGAGTACCTCAGCTTTGTAGCTTCCATGATGGATCTGTACTTAGCAGGACTGGGCAGGATTAGATGAGTGAGAAATAACATCTCACACTTTTTCTCCCTTTATTCTTAGCCCATAAAGAAATGGGCTAACCATACATTTAATGGTTATTTGTGAACTTGAGAGGTTCCTTCATTCAGGAAGAGTGAAGAGACTTTCATATTTTTAATAGTAGGTGTTGTGATCGTGGTTATCTCTAACTAGTAAGTCTTACAGGAGACATGAGTTGAAGCCTCAGGATTTACACTAGAGGACATACCTTGTTGACCTGGTTTCATACAGCTCCTTCAGCCTGGGCAGACAGTAGTCAGAATAGCAGCTCTTCTCCCTTTACTTAACTGCAAAAGTCTGATGTGCCATATGGGTTTGAGACATTTAACATTTTTATTATGTCAAAATTGTTTGGATAATACCACTGATGCTTCTAAAATCTGTCAGAAATAGTTTTGAGAAGGTCCCCTAATTATTGCAGAAACATATGTGCTTATTCTGCAGATGTGTTACAAAGACATTCTTCTGGGATTTGTCTCCCTTAGGCATTTGCTGGTGGACTGAAAGTGAGCAATTTGACAGGTTTGATGCAGGTCTGATTGAGAGAATATTGTTTTCCACACGACTAGTTTCATTACCAGACACATTAAAAACAGTCTGGAGTTACTGGCCCTGGAGAAAAAAAATCAAAATTAATTACCTAATGTATTTGTTTTGGTAATGAGAAATGTCCTTCCCTCTTTAAACATGGCTTTTTTTATCCATGTAATGGAAGGAGAATGATGCAGGACTTGGCTTTATGTGTATGTTTGTGTCAGACCTGTTGAAGTTATTATAATAGCAGAACACTGTGTCATCAGACCATCTTTACAACTTTGTCCTTTGGCTAGTCCTGTGCTTTATTTACCCCATCTTCACTGAGATACAGAAAAGAGCAAGAACAATCAGATTTCTTTCTTTGTACTGCTTATAAATAATGGGATAAAATGCCTAATTTATATATCTATATATAATTTTGTGTGTGTGTGTAGGTATATAGGATGCAATTCATCTTTTGGATTGTTCAAATTAAGGAGAGGAGATTGTCTTCAGTCATCTTTCATTGTTTAGCAATTTCCATTTATTTTAATTACTTTGACACAATGGAAGGTGCTGTTTAGAATAGCTTGCTGCAGTAACTTTTATCTCAAACTAAGATGGTGCCATCTGCTAAAGACACCTTCTTTTGAAATTACATCTAAAGACAGGTCATCTTCAAAAGCCTAGAGAAAACAGAGCAATCTGTTTATTTATGCAGCTTTCAAACTTTTCAACTGCCAGAATATAGAGCAGCTGATGGTTGTTTTTAGAGAGAAACCTAAAAATTAGTGTCACTTTTTCTGTTTTCTCACTGTCTAAAGGAGCTCAACAGAAACCACAGCTTAACCTCAGCACTTCAACCCTGTTTTCTCTATTCTTCTCACTGTCTGCCCATTGCAATAATCTGTGTTTAAGCACAGACTTTGACAGCCATGATCTGCTGTCATGCTGATCAAGCTGTCAAGCTGCTTCTTGCACTATAGGAAATGGAGTTTATGGCCTGCAGCTCCCAAATCTGAAGTGTCTGGTTGGTACCTGGGAAAGGATGTCCTTATGTGCCCAGGCAGATTGCAGGTGAGCACAGCTGCAGCACAAAGAGTGTGACTCTTGATAAATGTTTAAACCATAAACTGTGTTGCAAAGTTAGAAGTCCCTAATTTTTCCCTTTGATATTACAAAGTCTAATTTAAGTTAATCTGGTTAAGAACTTTTTATCACTACTAAGTCATAAGCCTCCCGATCTCAGCCATGGTGCTAGTTGTTCATTAGAGTAATTTAATAACATGCTTTTTGTTTCTCTAGATTACAGTCAGAATGAGTGAATTTAATGTTGTCTCCTACAGAGAGTTTTGTGTAATTCATTAGTTCCCAGTCCAAGCTTTACACTCTATCTCCTTCAGTGCTGCCTGCTTAACTTCACCAACCTCCCCTGTCTTGTGCCATTATTGATGCCTGTTTACCTTCTTACTCCTTACTCCTTGGTCTTGGCCTCCCGGTTCTTCATTCTCTGCTCTCTTTCCACTCTCTCTCTCCTGGACTTCTCCTGCTTCTTTCTCTGCCATCCTGATGACTACTAGTGCCATTTGATGCTATCACACTTTAACGTCAGCCCACCTCACCAGGGAGACGTGATGATGATTGCAATCCAGCCTAATGTTTGTGAAGACACCTGGGACCAGGAATGAATGCTTGTTGGGCCTTTTTGTTGCTTGAATTCTTTAAACAGTTTTTCTGTGCCTTTAGTATTTTTTTCAGCATTGTTCATTGTCTGTTAGTCTTGGTGATAAATTGATGCTTAATTATTATGTTGGTATGAACATCGTGATAAGGTGGTTACAAAGAGCTGTAACCCAGAATAAAGAGTTGATAAATTTAGGTCATGATCACAAAATTAAGGAAAGGAGGGAGTGGTAATGTTTTTGATTCTGGAATGATTTTGACCTGCTGGAGCTCTACTCTGATGCCAGCGTGTACGTGACACAAAAGAACTTCATCACAAAATTTTTTCTCCTTGTCTGATTTAGGAAACTGCCAGGCAGAAATGTCTACGCCCAGATGCACAATGAAAAAGAGCAGGAGATGACAAGCCCTGTTAATCACAGTGAGGACACCCAGAACATCATCCAGGGTGAGGAGTTTATTGATGATGATCTGGACTCTCAAACACTAGGTAACGCAAGAGGTAACTTCGTTTTTAGTTTATAAATTTTCATAAGTAATTGATTGTTTTCCTTTTAGCTCTTTTTCATTTTCTATTCAGTCTCAGGAAGACACAAATGGTAACACCACTAACAAGGGATTATCTCAGTCACCTTCTTTTGGCTTGCTTGATATACAAGCTAGTGTATGGATGATATGCTATATAGAGCATGAGTACAGAGATAGTAGTTTAATATCAGGAGACTGACTTGGACAATTTTAGAGATAAATTATATTTGGGAGAATAGGATATAATCTGCAACAGTTGAATTCACTCAATAATTTCCAGAATTAGCAGAAAATTGAGTTTAGGCCAGAAGGATTTGTAGATTCAATGCTTCTATGATTTCAGATGGATTGTATGGAGATCCATTGCTATATTTGCCTTCATATTCCAGTGGCATTTAAGGTTTTTGTGATTAGAAACATTAAATTTATTCATGTATAAAAAGTATCATAAGTCTTCCTTAATTTAACTATTGACTTTCTTAGTATTCATGAGGTGGTTGTAAGGAAACCACAAGGGAAACTTTCTGTGAGTATCTCTCAGATATGATTTCAATGTCAGGTGGAAGTGTGTATCCTGGCACCCTGTGGGTAGTTTTAATGTAACACGGGGTGCTGATCTATAAAGTTCATTTATTGTAAAATTTACATTTTGTTCAGACTGCTTTCAGGTCACAGTCTGAAAAATGTAGGACAATGTAAAAAACACCCAGTTCCATTTCTGCACATTTTGTGAAAATAAATCAGATAACCTAAAGCCTTTGGGATTTGTAGCAGTAGATTCATGGTGTGGAAGGCAACTGTAATGTCTTCATGAACTCCATGGACTATGTGTTTTAGCTGCACCAGAGGTAGCCTGGGGAAGACAGAACCTGGTCAGAGGAGAGATTTCTTTATCTTGGGTTTCACCTTTATTGTTTGTTGTTGATGTCTTTATTTTCACTTGCTGAACTATGCACCACTTCTCAGTTCTTGAAGGTGTTAGCTTTGAACACAAGGGAAGAATCCAGCCTCTTGCTTTGCTTTGTATATTTCTATCTCCTCTTTGACAACCTTTGTGTATGAGTATCACTGTGTTTTCATTCTGATTTTGCAAGACAACCTTGGTTGCCCTCCTGACTTTATTGGAGTTAGTCCCAAAAACAGCCCTGAAAAACAAAGTCTGTGTTAAAATTGTTTGATGAGATCATCTTCAGGGTCTTTAGAAGAGAAGCTGAATGCTAACAAAGTCCTTGCAGACATGCCTATTAAAGTGGAGCATTCGAACACCTCTAGTAATGTACAAAAGCATAACTTTTAATGGTAGAAAATCCCTTATGGCCTATTAAAAAAACCAGGCAGCTTGGGATGCTGGAATAAAGAAATGCTACCCTGATTTGTAACACATTCGGAATTAATCTCTGCTTGCCCTGCACTCATTACTCAGAGAAAACAAAAATCTTCTATCTGGGCAGAGCATTATTTTAGGGTTAAAGAGTACAAGATCATGATGTTTTGATGACATAAGACAGTTAGCAAATGCATAGCTCAAGGTGATTTGTGCTTCTGCCAGGATGTCAGCACCAGCAGCCTTTCTAGGAGAGTGTAAAGAGCTCATTTCTGTGGATCATAATCATCCATATTTGTCACCTACTGTACAGCTTTTAGACAGAATATGTTATTTAAGACATAAAACTATACTCCCACTCGCCCTACTGTTTGGTTATTTGCAATACTTTCCACTAGCTCTAGTATTGCTCAGTTCTGCCAAGAAAATATTCCTGTTAATGATACTCTATTTTATCTGGCTGGAGTATGAAACATGTTTTAATCCCTTCTTTATATTAAACTGTGGTGTATGACATGATTTGCAGAAGGTTCCTATGCTTGGAGATCCCTTCTAGTTCTGGTGAGCTTTCTCCCCCCCGTTGGAGATGTCAGTAGCCGCCTCCACTCCATGCACAGGAGGGAGTTACAGGCCTGGGTTTCTGTTTGTTCTCTCTCTTCTCGTAACTTTTGAATTTCCACAGTACAGTATTTCCAGACTCACCCATCCACTTTTTTTGTTTTCTATATATTTTATGTTGCCTACTTTATCGCAACCCCCACCTTGGGACTCCTCAACACCATTACCTTGCAGTGACTCCTTCTGGGAGAAGTGGCAGCTTGAACAGCTACAGAGTTCCCTTATTGCTGATGCCGGTCAGTGTCCAGTCCCAGGTCAGTGGCATGTTGAATGGATGCCTCAGGTTCCATTCTCCTCCCTCACCTGCACCCCTCGAGACAACTACACCTTTATAAGCCACACAGAGAACCAACTTATGCTGTCACTGGGATAGAAACCCTAGGAATTCACCACAAATCCACCATCATGAGCAAAAGCTTTGCGCAAAAGTGTGCTGTAGGTACATGGAGCTGTTGCACCAACCTTCACCTGACCTGTTGTTTGATAAAGTCACTCTCTTATGCAATTGACTTGTCCCTGCAATAAAAGGGGGATTTATTGTGGAGTACCTGAAATACACTAATGTTGGCCTTTTGTTTCTATATTTTCATAGGCAATCACTCAGGCGTGGTTTTGAGCATCAACTCCAGAGAGATGCACAGTTACCTGGTTAGCTGATATTTGCAGCTGAACACAAAACCCGAAAGACTCTTCTCTGTACCATTTTATTTTTCCCTGATGATGTCACAAAATTGCAAATATGGCTGTAAATGCTGATGGAGAGGAGGTTTCATACCAGTCCTGTGGAAAAAACCATCCATCTTCAGTTACCAAGAGTGAAGGATATATCGTGTTCACTCTATGGCCTGGGAACTCATCATGATTGAAACTCAAACTATGGTAGCAAATTTGTAGCCCTAGGCACCTTCAATGCCACCTTATTTCTTTTCTGTCTATGCTCTATTTCTTTATGTTTATTTTTAGAACGATTGACTGTAACTTTTTAATTGTATTTTTAATTGAGGTATTCAGCAGAAGGCTGAGACTCTTCATCCTGGAAAGGTGATTTTTACACAAGTGACTAGACCAGAACAGATGGTTGGTTGATCACATTGACAATTTTTTTGGGAGGCCAAGTATTTCTGTGCTGGGAAAGGACTGAGTGAGAGACAAATGCACTCCTAGTTGAGACAAACTCTTAACTTAAACATGTGTGAGACAATCTAATGAATTTAGGCTTAGGTCCTTCTGTGGATTAAAGGAAGTAAAATGTTAATTAGGATATCTCATAATATATGATCATGCTCTTGTAAGTGTAGCAAGTCCTGACAAACTATCAGCACCAGTATCTCCCCCAGTCCCACTCTGGGTGAAAGAAAAACACCAGCTTGATGCTATTTCCAGACCAGGTGCCTTCACTTGCAGACAGTCATTTCAGTTCCTCTCTCCTTTCTCCTGAGTGAGCACCTCCAGGATGATGGCAGGTGCCAGATGAGTTATCCTGTAAAACCCTGTGCTAGTGGCCTGTCTCTTTTTAAATTTCCAGAGAGTGTAAATACTTCTTTTAAGTCACTTTCTTTGTATGGTTATTTTTTTTAAAATTTCCTGTTTGGGCAGATGTGCCAGATAGGTCAAAGCTCTCCTCCAGGAATGGCTGGGTAGCACCACCATCTCCTTCCCACTGCATCCCTTTTTGAGATTTCCTCTGGATCTTTGCCCTTGCAGGTTGGAGTGGGCAAACTCTGACCTTTTCCACTAGGGTTAGTTTGACAATCTGAATTGTCATGGAGAGGATGGGATGGGATTTAGGGGTTCATATTTCCTTCCCATCACCACAGGGTGTCACTCAGTCCCTACCACCACTGGCCCCTATTCCTGCAGGGAGGGCAAGAGAGGGAGGGAGGGGCTTCTGGAGGAGCTGCCTGCAGAAAGGCTGGTGAGTCAGGTCAGTGTTTCCTAATCCCAATCTGAGCTGGGTCAGAGTTTCCTAGTCTTGATTTCTGCATCCCTAGGGAACGGCAGCGCAGTGAATCCACACCCCTCTTGTCTTTTCTCTGCGGTTAATGTCACCTTGTAGGAAACTTGAGTGTGGTGTGATGAGCTTAAAGGGAGGGGTGTGTGTGTGTGGCACATTGCCTGGAATTAGGATGCTTCTCTCAGAAACCTGTATAATCTCTTTACTTCTTGCCTTTAGAGAATAAATAACTCTGTACTCACTGAATGTCATACTGATGCTAGGGACGAGCTCGCACACCACCTTGTTTAAGAAGTATACAGATAGCTAATTACATCATCCAGAATAAGCAAACAGAAAATAATGAATGATAGTAAAATAGAAAAGAACTGTCTCAAAATTATTGTATGCATTGGAGTCATTCTTCCATGTAGCTGTGGATATCCTAGAGCATATTATCATCAAATGCAACGGACTGGGGTGTAATAATTCAGTGTAGTACTGTAGGCTCTCACAAACCCCATAAGATGTATGTGTAAAGCACAAGAAAATCTAGCTTATAAACTTACTGTAAGGAACTAGGTGGAAAAGTTAGAGTGAAGATTCTGAAAAGCACTTGCAAACTGCTCAGGAAAATAATTTCAAAAATTGTTTTAAAATTTCTGCCTATTTAGTTGTATAGTGCCATGTAAATTTATTAACAGAGAAATACTGCTGCATTTGACTGTTGTATGCCAGACTGTGTGGAAATCCAAGGTCTTAAAGATATCTGAGTCTGAGTTTCTTGAAGAGAAGTGCAAATACAAAATGTGCTGTGCATTGGAAACTCTCAGGATTGTTGCAGCAGGGGCTTCCCCTCCTCACCAGCTCTCCTTGTTTCTTCTAGTGGAATGAGCTGGAGCAGAGAATAAAATAGTATTACAAACATCTTACTTGTTCCTGTGAAATAAAATCTGAAGTGGGTTATTTATATAGGGCAGGTGAGTGGCAAACCACCCTCATGGAAAGGGATGGGATGGAAGTTCTAGCTTGGGATTGTTCTACATGGTTAGTCTGATTGGCAAAGGACTCTATTGGAACTAGGTCACACATCTAATTTATGCTTTAACAGCTACTTTTATACATTTAATTCAGGCTGATTTGTGTCTCTGATCACAGGAGTCTTTTGGAACACAGTAGAATATTGCTTGGTACTCTAATTAACACTTAGCACAATATAGTGCCTGTAATAATGTTTTTCGATGCTAATTAATTTGATTCATGCACTACTCCTGTGAGGTTGGTTTGTCATGTCTCAAAACCACTGTTTTCTAAAGAGATATTGGTATTGCTGTAACTTTATTAATAATACCCAGCAGATAATAAAGGAAGCCCTTGATTTCCCAGCAAGAATAACTTTAAAACAAATTATTTTAAAACTGAGAAAATACTATTACCATTTTCTAGTGCTAGATTTCAAATCTCTTGAACTACATCCATGATATCTTACCATTTTATCCTTTAGATGAATCTAAAATCCTGATACATGTGTATTCAGAAACATAGCTGCTTCTATGCACAAGTGCTAGTACACATGCATGCACACACACATGCAGTATTTTTACATGTTAATCAAATTTATTAGTAAAGACTTTGGGCAAGTTATTTAACCTGTACATGCCCCAGTTTCCCCACCTATAAAATGGGGCTGATAGTAATTACCTACCTCACAGTGGTATTGTGAGGCTAAATTAATTACTGTTAGTTCAGGATCATCACAGTCAAAGAATTTTGTGAGCATAAAGTATTAATGGTTTCACTTTCTTTGTTTTACTTGTAATTATTACTGTTCTTAAAAGTAGTCTACTGAAACCAGCTGCAATTATGTATAAATTAAAAAAAAAAAAGCATAATCCAGAAAAGGTACATCACTTGTGAAAAAAAAAAAAAGGTAATTTTATTTAAACACTGTTATTGGAACATATGGTTATGTGGTAGCACTACAACATTGGCTATGATTTTGCTGTTACACTGTAATATCTTCAACTTACCTTTCTTTAGTGTTATTTGATCAAAAACCATATAAAAATGGGTACAGTGATATTTATCAGCACTGGTATTGAACTATACTGAAACCAACAAAACTGGCAGTGCACTGGCCTCATTGGCATCCTTGGCCTTCTTAAAGTCTGATGTATTTGCAGATTCAAAAACACCCTGTACTTTTCAGAGTGCTCCAAACAGTATGATCTGAAGGATTCTAACAGATCTGTCAAGATTTACAGCTGTTACCTTTGCTTTCCCTTTTGACATTGAATGTTTTATATGGCTTCTGAATGGTCCATCCATATAACGTACTCAGAAATGCTCAAAGGACATTTAAGGAAAATCCACACAATGTTAATTAATTTCTCAAAAGTAAAGCAATATAAACCAGTGTAATTTTGTACTCTGTAGAAGAGGGTGGTGGAAATGGCTGTGAAGAAATAGAAGGTACCAGCCTGAGGCAAGATGTTGTTATCTCCAATTCAAATCCAATTTCCTGGAATTATTTTATGATATTCTTATTGAATTATATGCTTCTTGATGAGTGTTCTTCTTTTGATGACTGGTGTAAAGAGGAGTAAACTGTTTATTCATGTAAAGTAGATGATTGGTTAAGTTACTGTCCTCTAGACAAATACAGATCAGTGCTTTGCCATTGGTAGTTCCTAGTGCAAAGCAGGTTTCATATGACATGATTATCCTGGTTAGCTGTGTTTTAAGTCCAAGGAGACATCCCTTTAGTGGGAATGCTCTACCTACTGTATGCTGTGTCTTTAATAGAGGTCAATAGAATGGATCTGCAGTAGTTTCCATCCTCCTTACACAAACACATGTTCAAAGAAATGTTTGGGAAAAAGAAAAAAAGAAAACATTTATAAGAAATTAAATACATGCATTGTTTGCAGTAACTTTTTGATGATGAACCAGTGGTTCTGATAAGCTTTGAATTTCTAGTGTTATTTCAAGTCAAATACAATGTTGCTAATTTGATAGAATCGATGACAATTTCAGTCATAGATTTTTCCTATGTTTCCTATAAAAGAAGTTTTGTAATTTTTCACTAATGAGACTTTGGAGGTGGGGGGGAGAGAAACTAAGAATTTTATTTCATTGCACGGTCCCTGTCAGTTGAAGTTATTATAGTTGTTTTATTGTATATTGATTGATACCACTCTATTGTTTCCATCTTCATTTTTTATTTCAGCTTTTTACACAAAAGTAAGTGCTCATTTCTCTCAAAATATTGGTTTTCCACCAGGAAGAAATTTATAAGCATTTACCTTTATAAACATTGATTTTTAAGATGCAAAATTTGTTGTGTATTATAAGTCCATCCAAAAAGCTGCTTCCCAGCTCATTTTCTCTGTTCTAGTCCCAGCTGCACATTGCTTCTACAACTTTCTTCAAGAGAGTGGCATATAGCTTAATCATACTAGTCTGAGAAAGTATTTTTAAAACTTTCATTAGAATATCATTTAATTGACTGTAAGTAGGTCTGCTCAGATCGTTTTCTTAATGTCAAGTTTGTATTTTCGTGTTCCTTATTTCCTTTCAGTATCTCAGTATCAACCCTTTCAGTGCCATTTAAATGCATGTTTATTCCTATGATGTTTTCACTTTTTTTTAAGTCTATAATCAGCAAAGTGGCAAATAACTTAGACTCTCAGTTAGCTTTTGCAATTTATAGCCTAACCCTGCAGTCTTTGGGAAATGTCAAGCTGTGCACTCTTAATTTTTTAATCTTCTATCCCGTTAGCCCTTCTACCTGACTGATCACCTTGGCAGCATTGCCTCCAATTCTCTGTGTAACCTCAAGCTGGAGGGGGTGCAGAAGGGTTTCTCAGTGTCGAGGTGGACTAGAACAGCTCATTTCCCATGTCTGAATGGGAACATCATGCAGACAAAGTGTTTATTTTTCCCCTCTTTTCAAATATGTTGCATAAGCAGAGAGGATACTTACCAACAGGGAAAGAAGAACCTGTAATGGTACTTCAGGCTGCTCTGAAGGCTAAAGAATGCATTCCTCTTTGAATGTTTTTCCACTGAAACTGATACATACAGCAAGTTAGTTATATCAGTTTTAGTATGTGAGACCTCATTTCCATAAGTCTTCAGTCCCGTCCTTTTTCCTCCTGTTAAATGGAGTAGCAGATTACTTACAATATGAATTGTGGAGCCATGTATGACTTTCATCTTTTGATTCCTTTTTTTTCCTTATGTGAAGCTTGTCATCATTAGAGTTTTCAGGTAGTTTATGTGCTAGTAGCTGAGATGATCTTCTATAAGACAAGAAATGCTGGAAGGCTTAGAAATATGTGCTCTAAAATGATATATGACACAGCTGTGTGAACAAAATCCTTATCAAAGAGCTGTTATGGTTTGTATTAAATACTTTTTAATAGTATCTCTAAAAATACATGTTCTTAATTGCAAACTCTTTGTCTCTCTGTCCTTCCAGATTGATTTTCTTTTAGAAGTGACATTTACTAGCCCTGACAATAAGTAGATTCTTCCTTTACACAAGTAATTTTGCTTAATATTATTTCCTTGCAACACCTGAAGGCATTACACAAACTTCGACTTTATTGATCAGACTTAATTTCTGAGTTCCTGTAGAATTTGCATCTTTACAATGATTACTTGCAATACAGTAGACATAAAGCCCTGTTGAGCAGCAATAAGACGCAGCAGTACATGGCACTGCTTAAATAATATGCCTTTTTTGCACATACTTTTAATGGCATAATGAATATATTAATCACCAGGAAGGCCAGGCGTTCCAAATAACTTTCTTAGCATGTCTTATATTTCTATGTTATTTGTTGCTAATTTTAACCAGCTTTTGATACTTATATTTAGTTCTTACTGACAGTGTCTGCTCTTGCAGATCAAAGCGCATGAATTGGCTTATTCGCTTTTGCTTTAAAAAAGAAGTATTAATTCACACTGCTTATTGATTAAAACAGTTTATAAAAGGAAATCTTTCTGAAATTGTGAAAAAGATATT